TCTTTCCTTCCCTTCTGCTCAGCTTTCCAAAGGAATTGGTTCTTTTCTCTCCAGGATGTCCCTTCCACAGAGTGCTGCTTAATCTTTCAGTCTGCAGCCCTCTTTTGGCTGGCATCTGTGGGCTCTCTACCTTCAGTCTGGGATTCTCCCTTGGTCTTCGACTACTCCTGTCTGCTTAGTCTCCAGTCCTGGATCACACCCCCTGGCCCCACCTTCTTTTTCCACTCTTCCATTGAGCCCTGAACACTGTGGAAGAAAGGCAGGTATATACAGGTGAATGAGAAATAAACCTACCTTGACGAAGAGGAGAATACAGGAACATTCTCTTCTCCCAAGGAAGGACTAGGCAAAGTGAACAAATAAAAGGAAACCCACATCCAGACATGTTATGGTGACACTGCTGAACATGGAAGAAAAAGGGAAGGTTACAAAAGCAGCCAGAGAGAAAAGATAGGTCTTCTGTACCAGGGACCTGAGAACTGACTTCTCAGTGACAAAAATGGAAGCCAGAAGACAGTGGCGCAATCCCAGTGTGCCAAGATGGTGAAGGTGAGAAGATTTACCTTGCCAGATATCAGGACTCATAGTAAAGCTGTAGTAATTAACACAGGGTAGTGCTGGTACACAGATAGACAGTGAGACATAGGGTATTAGCTCAGCAACAGACCTCCACACGTTGCTGCAGATAAGTCGAGGAGGGATAGACTTTTTTTTTTTTTTTTAAGTTGCAGTCTCACTCTGTCGCCCAGACTGGAGTGCAGTGGCCGCTCCCGGCCACCGCAGCCTCGACCTGCTGGGCTCCGGCGACCCTTCCGCCTCAGCCTTCCCAGCAGCCGGAATTACAGGCCTGCGCTACCACACCCGGCTGATTTTTTGATTTATTGTGGAGATGAGGTCTCGCTGCCCAGGCGGGTCTCGAACCCGTGGGCTCAGGTAATCCACTCACCTCAGCCTCCCAAAGGCGCGGGATGACAGGCTGAGCCACCGAGCCCGGCTGGGATAGACTTTTTAACAAGTGGTGCTGTAATAGTTGGTTCGTCATATTTTAAAAAGTAAAATTGACCTCCTACCCTGCATTAAACATTAAAATCAAGTCTGGGTGGGATAAAGTCTTAAATGTGAAACGCAAAATTTAGAAGACGACATAGACTCCTTTTTGACCTTGGCGTAGGGAAGAATTTCTCAAGGGAGGCACAAAGAAGTTTAAACTGTGGAGGACTTTATTAAAATGAAGGTATTCTGTGCATCGGAACACACACTCAGAGGGTAAAAAGACAAGAAGAAAATAATTGTAGCCGGGCTCGGTGGCTCAGCCTGTCATCCCGCACCTTTGGGAGGCTAAAGTGAGTGGATGGCCTGAGCCCGCGGGTTCGAGACCCGCCTGGGCAGCGAGACCTCATCTCTACAATAAATCAAAAAATCAGCCGGGCGTGGTAGTGCAGGCCTGTAGCTCCGGCTACTCGGAAGGCCGAGGCGGAAGGATGGCCGGAGCCCAGCAGATCGAGGCTGCGGTGGCCGGGAGTGGCCACTGCACTCCAGTCTGGGCGACAGAGTGAGACTCCAACTCAAAAAACAACAACAACAAAAAACAACAACTGAGTAAGACTCAACAGTGTATGGCTAAGGAATATGCGTGAGGGGAGACACCCCCAAAAAACAGAATTATTTTTTGGAGGGTAGAGCCCTTGTAGTGCAGGCTTGCCCCCACTAGGTAAGTGTTCTAGAAATCCATCAGTATCAGTGTACCAGCTAGCATTGTTGTAAGAGGCTGCGTCGGCTTCAGTGAATTTTTTTTTGGCGACTCTTTCAACACATTTGCCCATTTCGTGATGGGTGATTTATTAGCACACCTGCCTATATTGTGTTATTTTTTACCAAAAACGGTGTGATCCCCCCTGCCTCACCCTCCCTATTCACCCCATCTGGCCCCCAGTGACTTTGTTTGGTCTCCCGATGAAAAAAAGTCCTCAAGGGGAAACGTTTTGCCCATGTGGAAGAGGTAAAACAAAAAAATGGCAGAACTAAAAGGCATCAAAACTGATGAGTCCAAAAACGGTTTTGAGTAGTGGAAAAAGCGTCTCAGTAGGTGTATCGCCTCAAATGTGGAGTCCTTTGAAGTTTAAACATATAAGAATAAATACACAATCTTTTATAAAGAAATTCTGGGTGTTTAGGGGGTTTCCCCTCGAACACCGGGTATAAAACTGTGGAGAAAATAAAGATAAGGATGACTAGAAAATTGAGGATAACGGTTATCTCTGATGAGAAATGTAACAATGAATTTAGCATAAGGTGATGTGTAAACTGAATTGCCTCTCCTTTTCCCTCCCCCACCCCCATTCCTGTATTGAAGTCCTTATAAGAGATTAGGACATAGACAAGTCAAAGGCTGTATGTGGACACAGCAAGAAAGGGGTCATCTGAAAGTCAAGGACAGAGGTCTCAGAAGAAACCAGCCCTGCCAACAACCTGATCATGACTTCTAACCTCCAGAATTACGAGAAAGTTAAATTCTGTTGTTTAAGCCACCCAGTCTGTGGTGTTTTGTTATGACAGCCCTAGCAAAATAATTCAGGGGCTTCTAAGATTAGGGCCATAGTCTGCTTTTTCAGCTGGGGGGTAGATGCCCTGGTGATTATTTTATTGTTGCTTTTCAAATGGTTTTTATACATTTTGTGCATTCTTTAAGATGTACTTTCCCAATTAAAAAAACCGAACTCAATGGCTCAGCCTGTAATCCCAGCACTTTGGGAGGCCGAGGCAAGTGGATTGTCTGAGCCCACAGGTTTGAGACCAGCCCGGCAACTTGGCAAGACTTTGTCTTTACAATAAATCAAAAATTAGCCGGGTGTGGTAGCGTGTGCCTGTAGTTCTGGCTACTTGGAAAACAGAGGCGGAAGGATTGCCTGAGCCCTGCAAGTCATTGCTGGGGTGATCATGAGTGTGTGTGCCACTGCACTTCAGCTTAGGGAGACAGGGTGAGACTCCGACTCAAACAAACAAACAAAAAAAACCCAGAAATATCATTGCTGCCAAAACATTTCTGGCCTATTGATTAACATTTCATTGATGTATTCAGCAAATGCAGCTCTTTAAACATTCAACAAAAAGCACAGTTCCATTAGGGTAATCGATATATCATTTTTAAGAAAAGGAATGCTGAATTTCATCAGCACTACTTTCTTGGCTTCAATGGATAACCATAAAAGAAGATGGAATGAGTACACACTTTTAAGAAGTCTAGGCAATTTGTGGTTTTGAATTAAAGTAGCTGTAAGTCCTCCCTCTCCATTGATTTCTCCTGTACCATTCATATTTCAGCTAAAATATATAAAGATCTTCTTACCTCCCTGGAGAAGAACGTATTTTTTTGCAAGATGTTGACATTAGAATCTTCATAACAGCTCTTGTAGGTACATTATGTGAAATTAGTACACGTGTTCATGTCTAAACTAGCTCAGTTCTTTGGGGTAAAAGGGATGCTGCAAATAATTTATTTTTATTCATAAATACAACGTCAGGATTTCTCTTTAAGATATGTGATATATATGTTCATATCTTAGGCAAACACAATTTATAATTAAAGTTATTTATATATGCACACAAAACAACTAGTTTCATGCACACAAATATATATATCACAGAATATTGAGTCATTTTATTCTAATATTTTATTGTAAACATAATTAATCATCTTGTTTTTCAAAGATATAATTATTAATACATATTGGAAATTCTAGAGAAAGCATTATATGTGTTTGAAATTAAGTCCAAGTGTCAGTTAATATAAGCAAATATACGCAAAAGTCCCTGTGAAAAACTCAAACAGATACATCTACAGGACTGAGAAACACTTTTACACACTATATGAAAAAGAAATGATGTGTGTTAAATGTCACATAGGACTGAATAGTAATATTAATTTAAAAAATTCAGCAAACAGAGAAATCTATACAATTCTTATACACACCAGTGTCAAAAGATACAAATTAAGAAGTGTGTTTGTGCAGGCTTTTGCTAGAGCAAATTTATAAAAAAAAAAAAAAAAAAGACCCATTTAAACACAGAAAATAAACATAAGAATTTTGTGTATATGGAAATTTGCCAGTTTAACTCTCAAGCTTAAGTCGCTTTAAAATAATATGGTTCATTGATGAAAATCAAAATCTTAAAGCCCATAAGAAAAAACCTTGGGTTTGCACCTAATTTTATCTCCTGAAGGAGAAAAACATTTCCGGTAGAAGAAACAGCATGTGCAAAGGCTCAGAGCTGCACAAAACTTGGTGTGTTTAAGGAAAAAGGCCAGGCCACAGGGACAGGATATCACAGGCCCTGCTGAAAAGTCAGCATGCACCAGAGGTGTAGGGAAAGCCAGGACAGACTTGTTTTAAGCAGGTTTCGATGGATCAGGTCGGGTTGTTAAAGATATCCTTTCGTTGTCCCTGGAGAAGAGATAGATAGGAGGACAGCCAAGACAGATGTGAAGTAACCTGGATTGGAAGGGTTTTGCCATAATCCAGATGAGAGAGGATTGTGGGTGGAGCTGCAGCAGGATAGAGATGTGAAGCCCAGACAGCAGGGGACGTGTTTCAGAAGGTAAAACTCACAGGACTTTTCATGGATTAGATGAAGTTGGTGAGGGAGCAGGGTGCCTCAAAAATGAAATCTCATCTCCAGTACAAGCAGTCAGGGAAATGAAGTTCCCCACCATGGGAACAGGGAAGACCAAGGAAGCAGTTGATGGGGTGAGAGGGAGCATGGGGGGGGTCAAGACAGTCCCCAAGGGCATCTGGCCGAAGAACAGGGTGCTGGACCATGTCTGTGCCATGCAGGAGAGTATTGTGTTTTCCAGCTCTTGCCCTGGGCTCCTACACTTGGAGTCTCAGAAAGTTCCCAAGAAGAAAATAGACTTTTCTTTTCCTCCACTGAATATGCCAACGGAGCGTATTCAAATATTGGCGATCCACATGTTTTCAACTGTTTTCATGTTAATCTTTCAGAATCATCCAGAAGTGCTGAATGTTCGAATACAACTGGAAAGCAAAGACCTCATCCTAAATCTGGAAAGAAATAAGTAAGTCTGATTAATTCTTGTTTATTGCGTGATAGGAGAAAGTTAAGACAACATGGATGGAAGAGAGCTGTGTGATTTATGTTGACATTTAGAGAAATGAAGCTAAATGTGTGGATTCGTAATCCAAATTTGGATTTGAGACTGGAATTAACTTCAAAAAATTATTCAATGGAAAATTAAAGAATTTCATCACTCTAAAAAGGAACTTTGTAACTCAGCAAGTGTTTTTTTCATAGTTCCGATGTTTTGTTTTGTTTTTCTCAGAGTCTGATTTTTCAAGGATAGGATTGTTCTATTCAAATAACAATGTTCCATAATTAGTTGACTTTTGACAATTCCTGTATTATATAAGAGGAAACAGCTTCAAATGGATAGAAACTCTTTTCTCCCTGAGAAATACCAAGAGTTTATTTTCTCTTTCAAAGCTTAACTCCAGTGGTTTGAGCTATTTATTTCCTCTTTCTATTTAAAAATTTTGTCTTTCTTTGGAAAATTATATAAATTTCCAGAAAATGATATCATATATTTTTTTCTGACCACATGGACATTATAACATATTTTTGTATGCCTTACCAGTAGAAAAATATGTCCACCTACATGCATAAATAAAAACAACTCATTTTCTTGTCATTCTTTGCACTCTGGCTAGCCCCAAAGAGTCCTCAGATCTAAATATTCCTTGAAATTCTATTTCATTAGGACTAGGAAAAAAGAGCCTATTGGTTTCTTCTAATAAGCAATCTGTATTTAAAGTTATAAAGGTGTACATCAATGTTCCCGGTCCTGCTTGATTCAAAATAGCAGTGTATCTCTTCTACAAGTACTGGCGTACCAGTTCCTGTTACTCACCCATTAGCAAAACGCTGAGTTTTGCTGAAATGGCAGTACAGAGGACAGACTCAGAGGAAGGAGTTCCCCCAGGGCTATGAACTCACAGAAACCTGACTCAGTGGCTCCATGTAAACGAGTCAGCTCATGTACTTGTATCAGTGCTTTGATGTGGAGGTACTAAGCAAGTTAGACGAAAGTCATGAGCTGGCTAAACCCAACCTTCAGTATCTCATGACGCAATATATTAAAACGTATGTAAAATCACCTGGATTGCTCCCTGGGATCTGAAACTGGCCTCTGCATTGTTTTTCTGACAAGCCTACCCCTCCCTGTTAAATTGGATCAAAAGCTTTGTAAACAGGAAATCGTGTGTCTTAAGCTTTTCTTGTGACTTGATGATCTTGAAATAGAAGTCCAGGTGCATGTATTAGATAATCAAGGATCTGAACAGAAAACTATATATCGCTTTTGATATGTCTCTCTTAGCAAAGTACCTATTTTTGTACTCTCTTTTTTTTCCATGTGAATATTGTGGGGCGTTTAAAGTTTTATACATATCTGTTTAGATATAGCTTTGAAAATATCTCAGTGGAGGTATTCCCTGAAAGATCAAAAGAAAATAAGACTTCCATGGAGATGCATTTTCTCAGTGGATTGTTGAGGGAAGTCTCAGAGGGATTTCAGAGCTTCTTCATTGCATCTTGTTAGACTGTTGGAGGGACGTGGTGCACAGCCTGAAGGAGGTGGCTTCTGAACTTTGTATTTGGTGTTACAGGTGCAGTCAGAGAAGCCAAAATAGACTTCATAAAACTCTAAAGTGATTTATTTTACTACGAAAGGAATAGCATGCCCAAAGAAGAAAGTTGAACATGGGGGTAGGGGGTGGTGGGTAGAACAAATAACCAAAAAAAAAAAAATGTGTGTGTGTATGTGTGTGTGTGTGTGTGTGTGTGTGTGTGTGTGTAGTATAGTCTACTACCAAACACAACCCTGGTTAATATTTTGGTGACTTATATAGATTTTTTTTTTTTTTAAACAAAGCTTTGCTTCTTTTGTCTTCTTCATCGGTATCATAGTCGGCGTGCAATTTAATATCTGCTACTTCATTTAGCTTTCTAATGGACATACATTTCCATAGAGAAATAATTTCTTAAAGCCCATATGGTTCTCTGAGTTTGTAAAGTGGCTTAATAGCCCTCTCTGTGGGCCCTTTGAAAATGATTTACCTTTCATTACTGCAGATAGTATATTACATGTTGACTCCTAGACAGTAGCTAACTTGTATAAATATCATTTTTTAAAGTGGCTTAATTTTTTCTCTTCCAATTCTCTGACTTTCAGGAGATAATCTCAAAATTAGAAAAGCTGAAGACATAAAACTATCTCTTCTCAGTTTACTTTTCTCGACCTTACTGTCAACCTACATTTTTGGAATACATAGAGAGTATTTAATATATATAGTATTTAACTATGCTATTCGATAGTTTTATTTGAATTGAATTACTTGTACAGATTTTAGAGATTCGATTCTGTTAAGAGTACTTTTTTCATAATTAGAACATGCTTATATTGCTATTTTAATAATGCATTACCCAACATACTTAAGTATAACAATTTTTTGAAACAGATTACATGTCTATTTCAAATGGACTATGCCTTTGAGGCAGTGAATATTAGAAATTCTAGTTTTATGAGTAGTATGAAATGCTTATATACAACTAACTTGTAGTGCTGTCAGACACAAAATGTAATTAATCATTCAATATAGAATAGAATTTTTAGTTTGCACCATCTTTGGACCAATAGATCCAATTCAGAGAGTTTATTCAAATGAAGTTATAAGAACCCAAACATAAAAATATAAGCATTTAAGTATTTAACAACCAGTACAATGGAGGGCCTGACCAATGAGACGGTTAGCCGGTCAATACCCTGCTTCAATGCCTTCAGACCCAGTGTCATCCTTGTGCCCAAGGATATTCTTTGCAGCATTTTTCCTAAAAGTATATCAATGGGAGATTGATTAAATAAATTATGACTCAGCAACTGAAAACGATGGAGATTTTCATTATTGTAAAAAAAATTCATGGTATAATCAATGTAAACAGGATGTTAGAAAATAGATTACAGGCCGGGCATGGTGGCTCAAGCCTGTAATCCTAGCACTTTGGGAGGCCGAGGTGAGAGGACTGCCTGAGCCCGCGGGTTCGAGACCAGCCTGGGCCACTTGGCGAGATTATCTCTACAATAAATAAAAAAATTAGCCAGGTATGGTAGTACGTGCCTGTAGTTCTGGCTACTTGGAAGGCTGAGGCAAAAGGATCGCCTCAGCCCAGTAGGTCGACTCTGGGGTGACCGTGAGTGTACCACTGCACTGCACTCCAACTTGGGCAATGGAGTGAGACTCCAACTCAAAAAAAAAAGAAAGAAAATAGATTACATAGTATTCAGTTTTTATTTTAAAATTTTACACATGACGCGTATTTCTGGTAAGTAAGATTATGGAAGATGCTTACTTTATTGTCTTAATAATGTTTTATGACAAGGATGCATTACTTTTAAAATGAGGGAAAAAGCAGTATGGAGATCACTCAAAGAATTAAAAGTGGATCTACCATTTGATCTAGCAATCCTACTACTAGGTATCTACCCTAAGCAACAGAGTCCATTATATTAAAGACACCTATACCCACATTTTCATCGCAGCACACTTTACAATTGCAAAACTGTGGAATCAACCTAAATACCCATCAACCGATCAGTGGATAATGAAAATGTGTTAGATAGATACCAGAATACTACACAGCCATAAAAAAGAATGAAATCACGTTCTTTGCAACAACATGGATGGAGCTGGAAACCGTCCTAGGAAAACTGACTCAGAAACAGAAAGCCAAATACTACATGTTCTCATTCATAGGTGGGAGCTACATGGTCACAAAGATGGAACTAATATACACTGGGGACAACAATAAGAGGGGAGAGGTGAGGGGGGTGAGTGTTCAGAGATTACCTGTGGGATAGTCTGTACCTGGGGAATAGGTTACCTGAGACCCAGTCCCTACCACTACACAATATGTCCATGTAGCAAATATGCATGTGTACTCCCTGACTCTAAAATAAAAAGAAAAGAAAAACAAAGACAAAATAAAATTAAGGGGGGGGGGCACCTTTCTTATTTTGAAGGAGAAAAGCTATTGTAAAAACTTGATAATGATTGAAAGCAAAAATGTTACAATATTTATTATTCATAAAATGAAAATGGTCAGAGGCCATTTTGAAAGGCTTTGAAGGCCTCCAGCAACTTTCAAAGAGCAAAAAAGTTCTGTCAGCTGAATACTGGGTCTTTAAATAGCCAGAAATTTGTTAGATTGAAAACCTACTTAGAAACCATGACCTAAATAAAAATAACCCCAGTCCCTTAAATTATAAGAGCTAGAATCTATAGCGAATGCTGAAAGAGAGTCCCCTAACTCACCCTACTCAAAATGCTTCCGTGGTAAACCAATTCTTCACGGCATAGGGCTGAATTTTTATTAAATAGTTTTTCAGGGAATCTCTTTTATTTACCTTCCAACATCCCTAATTTGTGCAAAGATTGGATGCTGCTAACTTAAAATCTGTATTTGTATAGCCATAATTGAAAGTTTAAAGAAACACAAAACTTCCCCTGAGAGGCATTCTTCACAATGTTGCTGTCTGCCTATGGAACTGCAGAAACCAGGTTTATAACTTTCATAGCCGTATAGGATCCCCATGGACTCTAAGGCCATTTCTCAAACAGGTGCTGTGTGGAACTGCATCTTTGATCAAAATGCTTTATTGCACAGACTGGCCAGCGTAGACATCCGTTTTTCCAGTTTAGGATAATTAAGAGTGATGGCAGTAGATCATACTCCCTGCATCTCTCAAACCCAGTGAGCATTCTGTTCTCAAGCCTGTTCCCGTCCTGGGCTAGAAGAATTTCAACATTTACTTTTATTTTGTCTGGAACAATTTCAAACATCTCTCCAGGGGCAACTGTAATTAGTGTTCACTCTAGAACAATAGCAGAAAGGGCATTTTAAAACTGTCAGATATGGGTATAAATATTTGGGAAGTCACTTATTTTAGATTGTCTCAGAATATTATGGTGCAGGATGGAGAAATGTGGCCAGTGTGGAGATAGC